TTTTTTCCAGGTGTATATATATATATATATATATATAATGATTATTACTTACTTTAAGGTGAGAGTCAATACCAACTCAGTGTGTTTCACAACTGTATGGGAGCTTCTGAACTACACTTTAGCTGCAAAAGTAAAAATGTTTTCCAAAGAAAACTAGACTTATAAGGTTTTTAAAACAAAATGAGTGTGGTAAGTAGTACGGAAACCGGAGTTTTTATTGGTTGGCAATTAAGTGCCGAAAAGGGGAAATAGGATTTTATAAGCATGTGCTCAAATAACATCTTTGTACACCTATGCCTCCAAACACCACAAAAGCATTACCAATATTCAAACAATTACAATGTTTATTGTATCGGCACCAAACCACATAACAAATGTTCTGACAGGTTCAAAGTGCAGTGTTGTTACTCTCAAAAAGTCTTGTTGTGAATACTGTAGGATATATACATAAGCCAATAAATTACACATCCTGTAGTTGGCATTAATGTTTTCACTGATTCTAAGTGCAGTATGATTACTCTGAATTTTCCAAGAAAACATTATAGGGTATATAATCTGAAACATTAGACATTCTGTTCTTGGAGCGGGGGTTAAGTTGGCTATCTTTTCGCCATGCTTTGTTGCTTTCAGGGATATCGTATTAAGGTGGTGTCAAGTAAACAGTCTATTGACACAAGTGGCAATTTATTGCTTTACTTTCAGCAGGGTTATACTTTAGTTGTTGACAGTAAAACAAATGAAATGTTGAGCAGTTCAAACTCTTAAGAGAAGTACTTGGGAACTTCATGACGAATAATAATGAAAAAAGGGCACAACTGCTCATTATATTTCTAATTTTACAACTTGTCTTTTCATTATACTTTGAGGATTTTTGTCTACATGCTGAAGAATCAAGTATATTATTAAAAGCTGATAAGATATAAAATGTTAATGAAAACAAACATTTGAAATGTATTTAGCAGGTTCTAGAGATTACAAAAATGAAATATGAGATTTCTGGGACAAAGAATAGTATTTTTAATCATAACATGAAAATCACTTTGCACTTGGACTAGTAACGAAACAGAGTCGATATATTCATAAACAAATCTTTAGTAAAAATACTTCATTAAAAAATCTGATTTTTTTCTGTACAAAAGACTTGTAATGTTTACTAAAAGTCTATCAAACTTTGTGGAGATACAATAACTGTATTAAAAGCTATAGTATAAATACTTAATGTGTACAAATGAATATACAAACTTGTGTATTTTATACACAGCCCATTGCAGTAGGGTTAAATTCACTCAATTACATATAGTGCTAGCTTGTTCTGACAACAGCTTACAGATTCATAATTGTTATAGCAGAGTACACCTCAGACATGGTAAGGGAATTATTTTAATGCACTTAAAAGCTAGTCAAGTTATGATACTTAAAAGGCATTGTATTCTTTTGTTATTTTGTGCTCTAAACTGAATGTCTGAAACAAATAAAACTTAGTAAAGTACTAACAACAACCATAAAAAAAAAAATCATTTTTTCAAGACTTCAAGTGCAAAAAATTACATAAAAAAACGCATACATCGGTGCTAAACATTTGTTATTTTTTTATTTATCATTATAATAGCAACTAAATTTGAAACTTATTAGGTTAGAAAAAATAAATTAAAAAGCTTATTAAATTTTAAAAATTTCTCAGTGAGGATTGCATGCAAGCTGCAAGTGTCTTAAATCATTCAATATTTTATTTTTCTTTAGAGTTTACTTACTGATTAATTATAAGTTACAGCTTTCACAGTTAGTAAGATTTGCTTTTAGAACAGATAAGATGTTTTGATCACTGGTGCGATCATTCTCAAGTACAACTTGTAATATAATTTAGGAGATTCTATAGATTATGTAAATGAAATAATAAATCTGTAATTTAAAAAAAAGTTTTTTCTTAACATGAAAATCACTTTGCACTCTTACTAGTCATAGTGTGAATCAGACTAACTGAAGTAAATTCAGATTTTTTTGTGTACAACATATTTGTAATGTTTACTAATAATAGCTTACCAAATTTTGTGAAGATAAATTAAATAAATTTAGAATTATAAAATTTATAATAAACATTAATTCTCCAACATGAGGTTGATCCATGGACCAAACCTGTGCATGTACAGTTGGTTGCCAAACAAATCAAAGCCAACATATTTAATACAGTCAAATCGATAAACCACTTGCTATGCAGGTGAAATAGAAATAAAAGATCTATGAAAGTATTTGCAATGTTTTAGCCTATATCATAATGTAGAACACCACAGAACAAGATTACATTTTCTACTAAAAACAATTTTCACCTAACTATTTAATGAAATTTTGTACACACAACATTAATTATTGAACTTTTATTGGCCACAAGGGAAACTTGTATGGATGACATAACAACTAATTTAATTTCACACATAAAATCACTACTTACATCGATCTCTGTTGCATTATGCCCATCATTCTCTTTTCTCGATTTCTTAGCACCTCTTCCTTCTTTTTCTTATCTGATGGAGGTTTTGCTAGTGAAATTTCTATCATCCCTCCTTCTACATCTTTGCCATTAAGTGCATTCATTGCTTTCACTGCATTATTACGGTCTTCAAAGTGGACAAATGCATAGTCCTTAATTTTTTTCACTCTTTCAACTCTTCCATAATTTTCAAACATTTCCTTTAATTTTTCTTCAGTTACTGATGCAGTTAAATTTCTTGCATACAATACTTTAACCTGACAAAAAGAGAAAAAAGGCCTGTGTAAAAACAAACATATACTGCTGAGATAGAGAAAGATCTCTCCTTATATTATATATATCTTACAATAGCTAAATGAAGGTACTTACTTGTTATTAGTAAGTAGCTTTTTAACAGGGGAATATTCATATATCACAGCAAGTAAAATAATTTGCAAGTTTAGAGTATGTGGAATATGATATAGTGAGACATATTAACAAGGTTCACACAAAACATTTAGTCACAAACTGAAGAATTCTTTGAGACTAACAGTAAAAATATCAAGGCTATTTCAGTATGTTATTTGTGGTGTATTTAAGTAGCACCTAAGGTATACATATATAAAATGATAAAAATGTAGAATGTGAAAGTTCATGTTCAATTACAAACACAAGTAGTAATTATATTTATTGTATGATTTTTGTCTAGTATCAACCACCTTTTGCATTTATCATCCTCTAACCAAGAACCTCAAAATCAGCAATTTTCCACTGTATCAAAATAAATACACACACACTTCCTGGGCACTTCACATTTAATGTTCACTGCTGAACATAGTGAGGTTATTTCTTGGACTTCCAAAAACAGCCAGGAAATAAATCAAGCTATATAGTTTTTCACTAGCAGTATTTAGTATGGAACTCAGCAGATCAGTGATGAAATGCAAAAAAGAGCCTTAACAAAGATAAACTTTCTCGCTATTCATTACTTTATGCTAAGCTCATGCCTGGGTGACACCTACTATAAGACTAAACAGTTTGAATCACAGGTGAGAGTTTTTGTAATGCAGAAAGGAATTGCCAAATTTATTAATGCAACAAAATATATACAGATTAATTTACTATCTTCTATAACACAAATAAAAAACAACATATTACTTAGATTATCTGAAGCCATTCGATCAAGCAAAGGTTCTGATGTAATAACTGAAGCTTTAGAAATGTAAAGAGCACATAAAGAAAAGAAGCTCTATAGCATTCAGTGTAAGAAAGAAAATAATCCCAGCTTTCAGATAAAACATGTATAATTTTGTTAGCTTTTGAAGCTTGAAAGTTATAAAACATATAGAGTCACTTGAATTTTACAGTTTTAGATACTATCACCTTAAAACTTTAGTTTTAAAAGCATTTAAATTAGAAATAATTAGAAAATAAAGACGTTCAATGACCAGAGTTTCAGTACTGTTTCATATGTTGACAAGTTTTAACTGAGCAGGCGTAAAGCTTAAATATTTATACTTCTCAAATTGAAATTGGATGGGGGTCTCAAAATAAAAATTATATTCTCTTTGTGAAGAGAGATTTAGAAGTTAAACTTTGCAGAAGAGTTTTAAAATTATTTCTGCCTACCTTACTCATGGTTTCTTCATCAGGTTCTTCCTGTGGATCTGCCCAATCAATGATGATGTCACAACCCCAAACTTTTATTCGTCCAGTGCTTAATCTTCTTTTAGCTAAAGATGCAGCCTTGTGAGATTCATATTCTAGGAAACAAAACCCTCTATTTTTCTTTTTATCATCTGGTGAGCTGTAGATGATTACATCACTCAATCCAGCTGGAAATAAAAAAGTCGCAAAAAGACAAATAAGTGGCCAATAAATGCACATCCCACCCTTAGGCATTGACTGATCTGCAGACAACTTAAAAATTAAAAAAAACATAAACAGTGGTAGTGTTCCATATGTGAAGCACAAAAACCGCAAGCAATCAATTTTTATGATTTTTTTTCATTTGAATTTAGAAGTTGCTTTTTTTTTTTACCAATTTTAGGAATTTTTTTAATACAACTGGAGTGATCCATTACAAATTTTGTTTCATTTTTTGGCAGGTGCCCAATGGAAAACAAGAGTAACAAAAGGGGCAAAATGGCAATTGAAATTTCAACTTACGTGCATGTTTGGTAAATTCCTCAAATAATTCGTCTTTTCCTCTGTTCTTTGGAATATTTCCCACAAATAACCGGTTGTTGTTAATTGAAATGGTCACGCCAATGTATTTTCCATTTCTAATTTCGAAATTATCCAGCTGTAAAGCAAATACATAAGAAGTTGCAAGCCAATCAGGCAAGTTCAAGAATTTGTAATCTTATAGGCAGAAAATACATGGCTGGAATGGTGCTCGATGCACCTACTGGGCAATTTTTTTTCCTCTCTGGTGACCTACAAATTTTAAAGGGAATGAATACATGGTACCTTAAACGTTACAGGAACTGATTCTCTAAACTTTCCATACCTGTTAATTTACCAAATTCTTCAAAGATCTCCTCTTTGCTCTTGCTCTTTGGGATGTTACCCACAAAAAGACGAAGGTTTGGAACTGATATATTGACTTTCAGGGTCTTGCCCTTTTTGATTTCATAATTATCCAGCTGAAATTGAAAAAAAAAAAGACCAAAAAGCTTGCCAAATGAGAATTATTTTGAATCAATCTTGCCAAAAACAGCTAAAATATCAATTTCTGGACTGCTGACACTGCTCCTGTAAAAAGAAGGACATCACGAATTTATTCATTATGACGTACGAATATGCCAGATTAAAAATTTAGTAACTTTGCCTAAAAATTAAAACTTTAAAAAGTAATTGTTTTAAATCCCTTCTCCACGAAATTTGGAAACATAATTAAGTTTCTTTCTTTTTCAATTGTGGAAAAATACACTTACTAAAGAGCAAGAGGAGACCCATTGAATCAGAGTCAATACCCTTCACCAAGTAAATGTGTATAAACGCCTGCCTTACCACAGATGCTAAGTATGTTAATGATACATCATTAATCTATAAATTTAGTGTCCAATATTAGATCTGATGGCAACTTCCACACATCTAGATGGTTCACTTCTCCTTCAAGAAAACAGTCTGGGGATCATATTAATATGTTTTAATGTGTGGATGATTTTTAAAATTACACAAACACACAATGTAAAATCAATCAAATATTTGAACACGCAAAAAACATACCTAAATACTACTCTTGATACACAAGTTAAACTACATTATCAGGATTTAACATATTTTTAGGATGTTTTACCCTTAATTTACATTTTAACTTTTAAACTAGATTTCAATAGATACAATGATAGGACTTTTTTTTAGAAAGAACAAGTTTCATTTCAAAGATAACATATTAAATTTGTATAGAAAAGACTGAGTTATTGCATGATATCCAATCTCAGGTTAAGAACAGTACAGTTCACTTAACTGTCAAATAGAAATTATTATGCTAATCAAAATTTTTTTTATCCCTTTTAAAATTTAACTTCTTTACATTACCTGAAGGTCTAATAAAATTAAAAGACACTGCAACTCCTTAAAATACTGTTGAAGAGGATGACTGAAGATAAAATACTTCCAAAAACAGAAACATGAAATCATATGTAACAGCAAATTTGTGGAAATGAAATACTTAAAAAAAAAAAAAAAGACTTAAGCTCTTATTTGATAACTTACCAATAAACAATTACTCCATGACATCCAATAATATCAACTGGATACTGCTTACTCACAGTTATTATTATTTTCACAACATATCTCCTTATATTAATAATCAGAAGAGTCAAATGAACCAACTTTAAATAACATTTTCTTTTGGAGGGTAGGTGAGGGATTTGGTGTATCACCAGAACATAAAGACAATGATTTCCAAACATTTATTTCTTCTTACACAAATTCTGAAAAACACTTAATTCAGCTAAAGAGGACCATAAACGACACAATGGCAGTATAATAACAAATGTTTTCTTCATCAGTTTGAAAATAAGTAAAGCAACTGGACAAATGTGTTTTATAAAATCCTTATATGTGAGAAAAAGACAACTATGCTAAATCCAAGAGTAAAGACTTACTCATCAACTCAAGTATTAACACGCCTCTGAATAGAAATATTAACACAACCACTATGATGTTCTCATATGAGGTTTGAACCTTTGATTTTTTTAAACTTGTTGCTATGCAAAATTATAAGTATATTTATACTGCAACATGCAGGATATACTTACTATCAAAGCTGTATCTTGAGAGAAGAATCAGATATAAAAAAGAAAAGAATTCCACAGAAAGGCTCCAAGTAACAATAACAATGATGTAGTTTCCTTCACAGAAGTGATAAAATTAGAATATATCTTGTAACAACAAAAAACAGGTACACATCTCACTGCAGACAAAAAGATATATACTTTTTGCATATTAGACAAATTGTAATGAAATTAAACTTGTCAATATCTATAACTTTACATTTCCACTTCTGCAAGGAGAGCTAGTGTGTTTTACTAGATGAATTCAGAAGATGCCACCAGTTCTACACTATATTATGGTAGCAACAACTACTTAGCTTCTGCTATGTTAGCTGGTAAGGTTACTGGTGTAATCATTTAAAATTTAAACTGTATTAAGTACTAGAGTGAATCCTTCTGAGTGACCTTTTACTTTTCTTATGCTGCCTGGGTATCAACTTCTGTTCAGAGGGCTGATCTTGTATTTATACATATCTATATAGATATATATTAAAAAATACTAAATATTTAAAACACCAAAAATCAAAATAAAAAATAAAACAGTTTAATGTGGTTTTTACAATTTAGCATAATTTTTCAATATTAAGTAGTGTTCCATAAAACATTTAAATTAATAAAATGCCAGGTTGTAGAAATATACAAGTTTGGGTTCAACATTTTCAACCTAAACCTTTGAAAGTAGCCTGAATGAAAAAAAAAAAGAAAAGAAAAAGTATAATGTTCAAAATATATGCACTGAGAGTGTAATTAATCATCATCTTAGACAACTGTATTTGATCAAGTCATTGGTATGATGTAATGTTTTTCACAACAGGTGTTTTTTTTATACTAAGAATAAATTTGTTTGCAACATCCATAGTGAAGACCCTATCACCTAATATAATCACAAGCAGTTATGCAGGTTGAAAAAATACAGAACCAAAATCAAATATTCAATGACATGCATATTTTGTTTCTCTATAGAATAAACATTTTAAACAACATCTTGTTTATGACACAATTGCACTTTTATTCAAAGTTGTTTCATTTATCACATTTGCTAAGAAGAGGCAAGTACTGGAGAATTAAATGACTGTTATTCATAAATGAGTTAGTTGATTTCCTATGTATTTCAATATCTGTTATTTAATCATATAATTTCTATTACACAAGTATAGTGACATGCTTCCTCTATTATGGAAAATCATAATTTCTGATGGAATTTCAAGCATCAGTGAGATGGCTCCGTGTTGTTGAAATGGGCAAACAAAGCTTAGATAATTAGAACTTAATTTAAACGATTAGAGAGCACTCTACATTTTGTATTATTTATTTTCCATTTTTGTATATAAATTCACAATGATCAGTTTGTTTGTTTTGAATTTCGCGCAAAGCTACACGAGGCCTATCTGCGCTAGCCGTCCCTAATTTAGCAGTGTAAGACTAGAGGGAAGGCAGCTAGTCATCACCACCCACCGCCAACTCTTGGGCTACTCTTTTACCAACGAATAGTGGGATTGACCGTCACATTATTACGCCCCCACGGCTGAAACACAATGATCAGTGCTTGGACTTTAGGGAATATGGGTTTATAGTAACCACTCTCCAACTTTTAATACCATCCTCAAACTGTTTTGTATAGAATGAAATAAATTGAGCATTAAAAGAAGTATTTGTAAAAAAAAAGTACTGAAACTAGTCTTTTGAAGACGTCTATTCCCTCTGTGTATATTTCACATATTCTGAAATCTTAATTAAAAAACTGCATACCCAAAAGCAATAGTAAATGATTTTTTTTCATTCTACAAAAACAATAAGGTTAAGGATACTGAAAGTAATGATTTTTCTCTAGTAAGAATAGTTTCAAGCAACAAGAGCTTCCCTATGCTTTATGGGACAAATAACTCAAGATTACAGTAACAAATAAAAACCAGATAGCTATTCTACAAAACATAAAGGTTGGTCCTAGTATAATTGATATGTAGAAAAAGAAAAAACTAATTCCAGTATTTATGATGATGATGTTGACTTCTAAAGAGAAAGGACTCTTAAGTTATCTTATGATTTAAAAGGTTTTGTGATTAAGATTAAATTTGTTGATCTTATGTTAGAAGACTAAATTTGAAGGCATTAGTATTTTATTGCCTATAATAGATAAAATATACTTGGGTTCAATTAATTTATTGGAAAGATAATTTTGAACTGGGCAACCCGATCATAATTTGAGAATGTAGAAGGGCAGCAAAGTTCAGACATTAGGTGTTTATATTTACATTTCACATGTTATAATTAACTTTCAAGTAGCATATTTTGGAAACATTTTACTTGAATAAACCTATTAGATGAGGAATTACATGAACTTATATTCTTACAGGCTTTTATATTATATTTTATTTTTTACCAATTTATTGAGCACGATATTATTGAATCACATTACATACTGATTTAATTGATGGCAAAATATATATAAACATAGCTAAAGAGAATACTATTATCAATCTTTTTCAGTTCCACTACATACAGAATCAGTAAAGTATAATAAATTAAACACCCAATCTTGAATGTTTTGTACTACCGAAGTTATCATGATCCATGTAGCTATATTTGATATGGATATTTTTCTTGTTCACTACATTCAATACATTTTTTGTGATGAAGCTATATTTCTTTTGTATACTATTTATGTACATGCCAGGAGGATTGGAGTGTGTTGCCCATGACAGCCTCATGATAGAACCTTTTGCAATTGAGACTATGCCGCATGGCTATTGTCAAGATGTTAACATTTTCCTGCACAGAAAATGTATTTTGGATAGGCATTTACCTTCTCTCACCCAAAGCTATCTCGACCTCGATATGCCCTCTAAGTATTGTTAAAACAATTTTGCTAATAGCGCATCAGTCTATTACACCCCCTTTATTTTCGCATCATTTTAGAACACATGCATATCATGTGACCAGCCTCCAATAATACTGGGCCACCTATACTAGCAAAGGTAGCTCCCTCTACTCTTCTAGTACAATCTCGACCTTGATATGCCCTCTAAGCATTGTTAAAACAATTTTGCTAATAGCACATCAGTCTATTATACCCCCTTTATTTTCGCATCATTTCAGAACACATGCATATCATGTGACCACCGACCAATCATACTGCGCCACCTATACTAGCAAAGGTAGCTACCTCTACTCTTCTAGTACAATCTCGACCTTGATATGCCCTCTAAGCATTGTTAAAACAATTTTGGTTATTGCACATCAGTCTATTATACCCCCTTTATTTTTGCATCATTTCAGAACACATGCATATCATGTGACCACCCTCCAATCATACTGGGCTACCTATACTAGCAAAGGTAGCTACCTCTACTCATCTAGTACAATCTCGACCTTGATATGCCCTCTAAGCATTGTTAAAACAATTTTGGTTATTGCACATCAGTCTATTATACCTCCTTTATTTTTGCATCATTTCAGAACACATGCATATCATGTGACCACCCTCCAATCATACTGGGCCACCTATACTAGCAAAGGTAGCTACCTCTACTCTTCTAGTACAATCCTCACTTTCGAGAATTGGCAGTTACAAATCAAAACAATAGCGTATCAGTGAGGAGGAAGGGTGGGAAGTGGATGAGAAGAGGTAAGTACCTATCGGAAATACATTTTCAGTGTTAGGAAATGTTAACTTCCAAAACAGTACCACCTACTTTCACCCAAAGCTGGAATCCCACATTACAAAAGGTGGAGGAGCTGGTGAAGGTGCAACGGTATCAAAATAGGGGGATAACAACTGCCTGAAAAGAACAGGTGAGCCAGTAGAAAGTAAGGCACACTTGTGGGGTATAGCACTACTTATGGAACAGGTATGCTCCTTGCCCAGTAACAAAACAGTAATATATGTATAGGACAAAATGTATGAGGTAGGCACCATATACTTCAAAAAAAGAAGAAGAAAAAAAAAGTGAACATAATGAAATGTCTAGTATGTAATCAACAACATGCTTGAAGAATTATGTGCCAAGGAACGAGTCCTGGGGCACACTGGAGCAAGCCCATTAATGTCTTGTCGAGGATAATGGTAGCAACAACAAAATAATAATAATTAGAAGAAGCACATGGGGATACGTCAGATTATGCCAAGTACGGTCCATCTGGGCAAAAACAATAGTGGAAGTGCCTTGCATAACTTTTTAAGATCAACAAATGCAGTCCACCTAGGCAAAAAACATCCAGAATAAGTGCCTTGGATATATAATATTATGGCCAAGTGAGGTCCACCTAGGCAAAAACATCCAGGGGAAGTGCCTTGGATCCAGAATAGTATTTATTGCCTATTCAATACTTATAATGACGACAGCTATCTTCTAACTGAGAGGGTACTTATGAGTTTGATTTCTTTCATTGTACAACCCCACTCAGGAAGAAACCTCCATGATCCACCACTCCAGTGACTGGGAACCCGGAGTGGTAAGGTAAGTGCAATGGGTGTCTGCAATTTCCTATGAAGAAAAGTAGATACGTGTCTATACCCTGAGGAAAGTGAGAATTGTGCCAGAGTAGTAGAGGGAGCTACCTGTGCTAGAACAGGTGGTGCAGTATGGTTGGTGGAACGTAGTCACATGATATGCACTTTCTGAAAATAAAAGGGTATAATAGGCTGGTACACTATTAGTGAAAAATGTTTTAGCAATGCTTAGAGGGCAAATCAAGGTCAAGATAGCTGTAAGTGAAAGGAAATAGTACTGTTTCGGAAGCACGGTCATCAGATAGGGCAACATCGACTGTACTGTTATAATATAGTAAAGTTCAAAACTCATTTTGATATAATGTACTCAACTTCTGTATATTAAAGCAACAACAGAAACTGGTACAATAAATTGTAAAATACTTGTAATTAAAGTAACCAAACTAATGCAACAGTGAGAAGCTTACCCACAAAATTTATTAAAAGTTGCCATGGCTAATCTTTTAACGCAATTTTAATTTTTTTTTGGTTTCCTATAGCCTCCTAACTGTATAAGTTTTCACATTCTTTGAAATGTCATTGATATTTTGATTTTGTTGAAATAAATGTAATTTTACAAACAAATGTGAGGTTGCAAGAGAAAATTTGAATCCAGAACAAAAGTATTACATTTAGTACCTTTTGATAATGACTAGTACGCGGAAACTTTAATTTTAGACACAAATTTTCAGTATTGTTCAGTAAGCACAGAACTACAATAAAATCTTAATAATTACATGCCTAAAAAAAGGCAGACCATTCACAAAATTTGCAGAAAGTTTCAAGTTCAAGTTGTTTTAGTTACAGTAATAATATACAGAACCTCTTAGCCTGGCAAAACAGTCTTCAGATGTCTGACATACTAAGAAGTCATTTAGGAAACTTCAAAACTCTTAAATAGGAGAAACTTGGAAACATCCAAGATTATTTAAAAGAACATCAAAAGGCATTTTTAAAAATAAAAACAACACTTTAACTATAACAAACATGATTGACAAAGGACATCACACAGACAGGAACAGCTGTAAAACCATTAATAAAGTGAATGGAAAAAACCTGACAGATTAAGGAAGTCCTACACATCAGAAACAAAATATGAACTCTCCAATGATTTAAGAATAGAAGTAAGCAACTTATGGTTTCCACTGTTCCAAAAGTACCCACTCACAATCCAGTCCTCTTAAAAAATCAACCAATCACTCACAGTCTAACTTTCAACAACCAATAAATGACATACACGTGAGACCCTGATAACAAATATGCAACTAGAACATTATTCAGTACAATTGACAAAACCACAAACCCAATAAAGCTCCAGGAAAGTGAACTGACATATCATTTACAAAACATTTCTAAACAGGTGGACCATACTAATCACCAAATGATACACACTGGCTTTCTACACATTAGAATGCACACAAAACAATGCAAATTATATATACAGAGAGTACTTATATTATACAACATTTTTTTTTACATCTATTGTTTCATAGGTCAAAGTAGCAACAAAAATCAAGGTCAAGTAATTTTCTTACTAATCAAAGTAAGTTTTGAAAGTAATTAAACTGATGAGAGTTCACACCAGTCAAACCAGTGAACATAATACACCAATGTACACGATGTCCCTAAATCACATAAATTAGTATTCATAATCCTATTCCACAATATTACAAAAGTCCTAATCATTTCTTATTTACAAATATCATTACTGTGTTTCTGTAGCTATGTGCCATATGTTGAAGCAAAAGCTATACACACTGCTCAGAATTTCAGATTTCTACTGATATAAGCAATAAATTGAAGGCCAAGTTGTTGTCAGGCAACAAAAGCAAGATTAAAAGAGAAATGGTTGTGGTTTTTCCACGTAACAATTTGTTGATTTTTCAGGCCAACAATGAGACAGAACCTTAAGATCTGGAAGTTTTACTTGTATTAATTTTTGACTGGAAGCATTAGTTACAATCTTTTCAAGAATATAAAGTGATTAAAGGTAAAGCTTGAATGGGTAACATGATCAGAGAATGTAATCTTTGAAGGTCTTGAAAAACAAATTTCAAGAAATTACAAAGTGAAAAATACCTAATATAAAACTTTCAGTTCTAAACTGTGTTTTGATACCAAATCCATTAACATACTTTGAGCATTAAGTTATTAACTTGATAACCTGCACACGTAACCCATACATGATAACCTGTGAGTTATTAAACAATTTGATGACCAGGACTAAATAGAAAAATGTGACAATTATGGTTATGGAGTCATGTGGCAAAAAAAAAAAAAGAAAGAAAAGAAAACAGCTGACTTTGTAACATGCTTACCTGTCACAAAGCCAACTATTAAGCATGAAGCAAAGGAGAAATTGAGGATGAGAGTGCAGAAGCTTCAAAAAGGTGAAAAGCATAGTACTCAGTATAAATTAGGAAATTAAGGAAATATGTACACAAATACATATTTATATATATAAAAAAAAAAGACATACAAACAAGAAACTCAAAAATAAGAAAAAACTTTCCACAAAGGGAATAAACAGTGCTTCCACAGAGAAAGGTGTTAATAAAGCTTGTGATATAAGCCATTAATGTTGAAGCCATCCCCATTTTGAAAAAAAAAAAGCATAAAATAATCCTGGGTAAGTTTGTCCAAACAACATTAACACAACAAAAACCTACAAAACAGACAGACATGAAAATAATCCAAAAGGAAATGTTCCATTATCTCTACAATAAACACATGACAAAGTAAAAAAAACAAAAAAATACAACATAAACTTCAGAAGAAAAAGTGGGGAAGGTCCATTAATATACACATTTTTTTCACAAGCCTCTTATGGGTAGCACATTAGAGATTTAAAGTACCATAAAACTTAAAATACTTTACATTTTTTAATACTTTAAATGTTACCTCTTTTACAGCATTATGTGCTCCATCCTTGTTACAGTATGTGATAAATGCATATCCACGATTTTGGCCACTAAGTGGGTCCATCATGAGCCTTAAATCCCAGATTTTTCCACATTTTTCAAAGAGAAGAATAAGCTCATCTTCAAAGAGATCTTTTGGAATTTTTCCGACGAAAACCTGTTAACGTAAATGTATTTATTTATAAAATTATCAACAAAACATAATACAGAAGTTGTGAGACAGCAAAATTTCATTGGAAGAATCAAATGTTTCAGTTAATAAACAACACAAAAAGAAAACACAATAGATAAAATAGTATGAAACTTCAAAAGAACTTTCTATAGATTATGTAACTTTCGCAAATAAAATAATTTTATATGATCATGAAAACACAGGTTCAAACAATCAGTGATAGACAAAAATAAGAAATCTTATAACTAAAGCACTTTCAAAAGGTAGACCTTTCTTAATCATAGGCAACCCCTTTAAATAATAAGCTCAGTACCAAGATAAAGAAAGGTTTACCTTTCAAAGGTGTTTGGGTTGTAGGATTTATTATTTTTGTTTTATTAGAAGCTGACATTTGCTTAAATACATAGATTTGAAACTTCAAAAATATTTCACCATGATATTGTTTTTCAAAAACAATTAAATCTATTAACTTTTATTGTAGTAATTTTGAATATTGATTTTTGTCTTTCTATATTCTTGTAAAACTTTCCCATATAGTTTTTATTTGATATAGATATATTTAATAAAGCAAGCTATTATTATGTTGTTTTTTAAAAATCAGGACTATATTTGTAGCAGAAGGCAACCACAAACCACTTTTCTTCTACCAACATATTACCAAACTAAGCTTTATTACTTTGTTCTGATTTCTACGAAAATCTCAAATGAACTGGCTTATAAAGTTATAAATTACAAGGTCAAATTAGCAATAAATTGTTCAAAACTATTACGATTTTCCTCCTAGGACTCTAAGTGTCGTATTATGCTTAGAAAAATGTCAACAAATACTAATCTTTCATTTGGAGCATGATGAAATCATCCTAATATCAAAATTTTGATTTTATTTTTACTGTTTACCTATAAAAATTTTTTACTGAATACATCTCAACACTGAATGTTTTACTTTTAATGTGTGCACGAATGAATATGTTTATTTTCTATTTATTTAATTAAATGGTGCAATTTTGCCTTTCAGGATGCAATATTTGGACTTGAGAGGGTTCAGATATGTCTTACAGTTTCTTTGTAATACTGTATCCTAAAAACTGACAAACAACCATTCTGGCAAAAGGGGCTTAAAATGGTGTAGCAAAACATGACCTAAACTTTTGTGTTTGAGTACATGTCACTTTTATGAAATGGGTAAATCTGGCCAGCTTAAATGGGTTTATGAAATAATATTTGAATCATTTCTACTAGTAACCATAGAGTAAACAGAAGAATAATCTGGTTCAACAAAGTTTTCAGTAACTCGACTTTTACTTAATATAAAACGACAAATAGGGTGTCAAACTAAAGCTACCAAATTTGGCTATGCATTTGTGGGAATGTTTTTCATGTTAAAGATAATTAATAATGTCATGAAATAAAAATTTTGACAGACTCTAATAAAAACTTGTCTTTTTATACATGCCAAAGTGCATGTTGTTAAAATTACTTTGATACCTAACATGTTACATTAAAATAGTTTTATTGCACCTTGTGATTTTGACAAATTGTTTACCATTAACATTTTAATGCTATGTTTCCTGGAAATGGCACCAAACCACAAGGTTCAACAACAAATAACCTGTTTTTCATTTTACAGCAAGATGAATATTGAACCAACTCCTAAAAAATCTTGATTACAACTAAATAAAAAGAAATGCATCATATATGACAAAAAGAAACTCAGACAGTGAGAGAACCTAGAATAGACAGCATCTAAACACTACTTGCTGCTTGGACCATATAAAGACATGTTATGTGGCAAAATTAAAATTGCATATCATAAGGCATTCAGAGCAAGCTACACTAGTAAAACGAAACCTGAAATATGCATGCAATAAGGACAACAGTTTTATTGCAATACCAACCCAAGTGGCTCCATTTCCATCATGTTCTGCTGAGGATTATGGTCATGTGCACAGATAGGGACACTGCAGGTTTTGCCACTCAATGGAACTGTTTCATATGTGGAAAAGCATGGAAAAAACATGAAAAGATGATACCAATAACCACAGGTATAGGAGAGAATACGAAAGAAAACATGCTGTTTGAGCCTTTGCTGATTTTGTTCCAGACCTCTTGTACGACTTTATAGTGTAACTGACAGATAAGAAAGAAATTATGCAGAAAAATATCAGGATGCAAAGATGATGTTCTGAAAAACAGTCCTGTCATTAGTATCTGCCATAAGTTCATTGCAAGGTGCAGGCATGTGTGGACCCCTCTGAATTTGGACTTAGGTCTGTACTGTCATTACAAGTTTGAAATTAATACTCATTGAAAATTTGAATGCATTAGACCACATTATCTATATGATGAAGTTTGTAGGTTCTTGACATTTACTGCTATTGACCTACATGAAACACACCTCTGTTCAAATTTTAGCTAGAATCCCACACTGACAAGGTGGAGGGGCCAGTGATAATTCCTCATTTATGCCTTACAAACAGGGAATCAATAAGACATACCAATGATACCATCAAAATGCAACATTTCTAGTAAGTAAGCATTATCAGTTACAACACATGTAAGAAAAGATGATCTGAACTGGCTGTTAAAAAAACAAAAATTGATATTACCATATACACATACATCCTAACTTCTAAATCAATTTTAGTGGAAAAAAACCATAATTTCCTGAATATAATACACAAAATGAGATGAAAGATAGAGTAACGTTACCATAATTTCCTGAATATAATACACAAAATGAGATGAAAGATAGAGTAACGTTACCATAATTTCCTGAATATAATACACAAACGTTACTCTATCTTTCATCTCATTTTCTACTTTATAATGACATACTTACTTCACAACCAGCACCTGGCTGAGGTCCATCCCAGTCTGGTGGTGGACCTCCATACTTTCTTTGTCCAGTTGTTACATCAAGTGTGTATCCTGTTCTGTCTAAAATTTCCTGCAAACCACATTAAAACCTCTTATTGAAAACACATTTTATGATGTTTTCTGTAACACAGCTTAATTCTATTAAACAGCTAGTAAATTATCATTAACTTTAGTTTCAACAAAACATTGTTGCAACTACATTTGTAAAATTATTATTACAACAAAAGTACAAGGAAATGTAAATTACTTCACTGCCTTACTTTAACTGTTAATTAATGAAAACAAATTTTTTAAAAATTTAAATATGCTTAACTTCCATATCCTTTCAATTTCTAGCTTTATATATAGCTTTAAAAATACTAACTGCTTTGGGAATTTGTAACACAATTTTTTATTTTGTTTCTATGTGCAGTTGCTCAAATTAAATATCAGATTATGTATACCAATCAAAATAAAGTTAACCCTATCACTCCAGGTACCCTTTAACGAGCATGACACAAGGTTTTAGTTTCTTACATACAAAATTTTATTAAATTATTTTTTCTTTCAAGTTATATCAATTAAAATAGCATAAACTCTTAGCTAGTAATCCATATTTTAATAATATACAAGTTCTTAATTCTACAACTCAATATTTTAAAAAATTCTGAATTTCCATTAGTGTGACCCACATGACACATTTTCTCTTAGCATGTCATCATCCCTATTTTACCCATCACCCCTCAAAAAAGTACATAATTAAACATAAAATACTCTCTATAAAATTGTTATTACTCCAACAAACCATAATTTTTATAGCCTTCAATTTTGTTTGATTACAGAGCTATCAAATAGAAAATTAGACCCCTCCTGCCACACCCTCTCTTTCACAATGAGTTGATAGATCTCTCTTATGTTTCATTATATATTACCTATAACCAATAGAAAATCAATGTTTTCATCTATCAAATAACGTATTGTATAACATTGTATTCTGAACAGAATATTATCAATCTCAATCACAGTACAAGATTTGTTCCTGTGGGAAAGTTAACGACTAGCTTGGATGAATTTGTCCATTTTTTGCATGTTATTAGTCTATTAGTCTTTGGTGCATTATTTAATTAAATAAAAATTATTAAGCGCATTACTATCTATAGTATAAAAAATTAGGGTTAACTCTCTTTAAAACCGAGAGCAAGTAAAAAGATTGGGTAAGTACTTTATTTATTGTTTTTCATATTTAATCTTTATTTCTTATTATAAAAGCAACTGAAATCTAAAAATACAGGTCTTTTTAAGTTATTTAAGACTAAATTAGGTAAAATAAGTAATAATAATATAATTAAAATGGTTCACGAGGCATGCATGCAACCAGCTTATGGGTAATGTAGTTCAATAGAGTAACATGAGCTGCATGTTCCCCGGGTGATTTACAACTTATAATGGCGTGGATAGTAGTTAGGCACAGTTCAAAGAGCAATAAATCAAAATTGAATTATAAATAGATGTATATTGTCACTAGCTTAAGAGTTACTTGGGATAAACAAATGTGGTCTCATGTTACAATATGAAGTCATTCTAGAAAGAAAAAAGGGGAATTTAGGTTCATTTTGATTTTTTTTTGGTGGTTACAAGATCGGTCAATCTGACCACTTCCGTTTTGAGAATGGTAGGGAAAATAACACAAACTATAAAGTTTTACCGAAAAAAAAATGCTTGAAATGTATTTTGGAGGTTTTAGGGATTACGCAAAGGAAATTTGATATTTTTGAGACGAGGAAAAGTATTTTTAGTTTTAACATGAAAATTACTTTACACACAATCTATTCAAAACAAATACTCAATATATTAATGGACAACTCTTTATTTTATTTTGTTAAAAATGCTTCACAAAAAAATAAGATTTCTTTGTATGTGAAAGACTTATAATATGAACCGAAAGACTGACAAATTTTGTGAAGATATACATACTATACTGAAAGTTAGATGTATTAAATTTATAAAGACTTTAATCGAGTACAAAGAGGTCACGTGGTTGGCAAATTGACAGAGCCCATGTTGAGAGAGTTAACAGGTATCAACCAATACAAATGATAACACCAAGCTTATTAAACTTACTTTTCATATCATTTGTTTATGAATGATTTATACATCCTCTCTTCTGGTCCGCCATTCATATATTAATCTGATTAATTGTCCTATGAAATCCCTTAATCCTATAATGGGCATAGTTATTTTAACCAACCTTGTAACCACTATGTAACCATCAAACTACACATACTATAACTTTAAATGTACCAAATGTATCTTCACAATCTTTAAAAATCTGTTGTGGATAAAAATGGATGATTCAATATGGTCAATTACCTATGAGCACTATTAACAATGATGTCACATAAAATAATAATATAACTGAAATTAGTTTTCCAATTATTACTGTTTTTGATTATTCCATCTATCCAGGTACTTGAAATACTGCCATTATGATTTCTCATTATTTTTTCTATTAACCCTATCACTAAGGGTTTTCCTATTGTTAGGAGTCAAAGGGCATGTCATCCCGTTTGTTGACTCACATTCAAAATTATATTAAACTACTATTTTATGAATTTATATCAATTCAATAACCTGGGTATAAAATTGTAGATTATAATTCAAGTGGTAGTATTATACATCAGTTAATTTTTTCATTTCAAAGTAAATATTAAACAAAATGTCTAAATATCGATTTTTGTGTGTCACGTGGTATGTTGAATTTGATTCAAATTAAATGTTTTTGATGTCCAAATACAAAGTCTATAGTTTCTTATGAACTAGAAACTCAAATTACTGATAATGGCTGGAGACGGCTTGAATGGGTAATGAAGAAAAACTTTAATATAAGTTTAACATAACAGC